GTGTATATTAATATGCAAAAAAAAAAGTATTAGTTCATTAAAAAAAAAGACAAAAATATCAAATGTGACATTTACAATCAAAACAATAATAATATGAAAATTAGTACAATTATTTATTAGTCTAAGTTTCCATTGGTTCACCTCACTTCATGGCATTGATGAGAGCAATTATTTGACATTTGGGCATTTCTCCCTGTATATAGGGGGGTTTTGGAGTGTGACATAAATTCGAATTTGGGGTATATTTGGGAAAAAATTTGTAGTGTTTTTGTCATAGTGTTTTATATTTAGGGCATGAGGTTAGAAATTGCAGCTCTGTCTCTACCTGTCCTGTGTCACACTGGGAACAGAGTCTCTCCTCTTGTGGTAGCCAGCTCTGTCTGTGGCGACCCTTTTCTATGGCCAGGCTATGTTCACTCTTCTGTTTTCAGTCTGTATGTTGGCAACATTTTTCTTAGTTTAGGATATTTTATTTTGCTCAGGTAATTTGCCAGTGTGAATTCTCTTTTTAGGGTCAGATAACTTTGTATTTTACTTGTTTTGGTTGTTTCTTTGCAGTATTCAATATATTTTTCTTTCTGCTAGCTGATAATTTGGTTTGGTCTGCTTGAGTTGGTGTTGCTGTCCTGAGGGTTGGGGACTTGTTACTGCAGAGAGCCTTGGGACCAGCTGGTCGAGGGGACTCTTCTCTGGTTATTATTTGGTACACAATGCAGTAAAAAGGGGACTTTCTGGAGTTGGGTTTATCCATTGTGGATACAGAACAACACAGAGGAGGAGAGAAAGAAAGAATAATGTCTGAACAAGATTCTCCCTTGTTCAGACAGCAGTGCAACTTTCAAAATTCTTCCATCTCACGGAGAAAAGAAATGCCAGGTCGGAACAGTGTCGAGAGGCTGCCGCAGCTGTTGTGTGAAGACTAATTGTGTAGCTGGGCCACGGGGATGACATTAGATGTGATAGGGATCAGAACATGCGGCCAAATGCTGACGATCATATGGATTAGAACAGGACTGTGAATTTTCGTTTCTTTCCCTTCTGTGCATTTTTTTCAATGTAATTGTGTATTCACAATTACTCATTTAGCAGATGCTTTTATCAAAAGCGATTTACATTTGAGAAAACAACATACAAGCATCAATTAAACATCAATGCAGTAAGAGACACAAGTGACAATTAAAGCTGCAAGCAGCGTTGGGCGGGCCCTCGCACTTGTAAGCGCGTCTGCGCGTGAGCTGGCCGAGTTGCATATTCTGGAGCTCTGCCGGTGCGGCTGTGAATTTCCTACGCGGTTCCGACGCCGCATGAATGTGCTATATGTCACTTCCTGTGTCCCCTATGTGGAGCTACATAGCACTTGCCGCTATGAATATAAATCGGTATTGGCGTGTAGATGTCTGCGGGGTGGGAGAGTTATCAAGCACGTAAAGTTTGTTTCAGATGTGAACATGTACACTGAACAATAATGTACCCAAACAATAAAATAAATTCCTTTTATATTTCCCTGCCTTGTTGTTTATGTGTACATACAGAGGAAGAATGTGAGAACAGCACACATTTCATCGTTACTGTGTGTTAGAGCATGGGAGAACAGTGGATACTTTTAATACAGCCCACACCCCTAATACTGTGTAACTATAACAAGTAGAGAACAGAAGAAAAAGATGTTCTTTCTTTACAACTGTCTGCATAGCTTATTCATATTGTGTAATGAATGAAAATAAATAGGCCTACTAGGCTCCTCTCTACTTTGACATTTAAGATTAGCTTGTTTGATCCACCTTCATACACATGTGACATTACTGTACAACTTGAGAAAGGTGAGTTGTTTTCTGCTCCAGCCTGCCTAAAAGAAAAGCGTTTTGGGGATTAAATGGACTTTATTAGCTGCTGCAGTGCAGGATGAACTCAGAATAGACCCATTTCTCACCTTATTATTCTAGATCATGCAACGAAGAAGAAGAAATGCATAAGAAATCCTGGGACAAAATCTGTAGTCAAATACTGTACAGCATGTAGTCTGATGAACAAGACTTGTGTTATAGCTGACTTGGGCAGTGAAATATTTTTTTAATTCATGTGGTCATAGTTGTCCACAACTCAAATCAGAATATAAGAAGAAATGTTTTATACCACCTCAAGAAGGCTTCCTATCAGAAAGGTAGGAAGGTATTTCAAATGTACAACTGCAGTACTTAAATCTAAGTAAAGTAATTTCCCTGACATTTTTGTGTTACTTTACTTTTAATAGACGCATGTAACAGGTTTTATACGTCCTGTGAGTATAATCCAATCAATCTTATTTTCATACTGTATATCCGTTGTGTAATTTGATAAATTGTGTTGTATGTCGTGCTCGCATCTCAGAGAAGACTCTGACTGCAACATGCGTCTTTGTAAAGAGAGAAACGGACATAAAAGTCTCTAACTCTGCCTGTCAGCTCGCTCTGCTCCATTAAAACTGAATTTACCATACAGAATTGAATACGAGTGCACTCCAGATTTAGCTGCAGCCAGCTGACCGTGTGCTTCTCCCTTTACCGCAGTTCTGTGTCCATGCATGCAGCAAACTGAAAGCACTGTCTGTCGGAGCGTCTACGTGAAAAGAGAAGGAAGACATTGCTGGTAGTATTGTCTTCAGAGTTGTTAAACACCTCAGCGCACTGAAGGAAGCCATCTGACTGTGTGAGGGGCAAGATCGTTGATGTCTGCAGGCAGAGTAGGAGCTCTCCTGTCTGACTGGTCCACCAATAGCAGAGAAGATGACCCCTTGAGACACAGCCCCTCCTCATTTGCATAATGAGGCAGAAATGCATACAAAATTTAAAAAAGACAGGCAGAAATAAATACCATGGGTGAAAATAAATAAGGTAAATAAATACAAAGGAAGAATAAACCAGACAAAAATATTAAAACACACACATAATTAAATACATTAAAAAAATTAGTAATAAATAAAGTTGAATAAACAAATAAGGTAATTATAACAAAGGTGAATAAGTAAAGGCACTAATTAAAATATATACATTTATGTCTCCTTGTATAATTTAATTACTACCTACATTTATTTATTTACTTAATTTTTTTGTGTATTTAATTGGATGCTTATTTATTTATTGAGCATTTATTTATTTCTGTATTTATTTCTGACTGTGTCAGGATCGGTCCTCCATAGCGGGGTGGGAGAGTTATCAAGCACGTAAAGTTTGGTTCAGATGTGAGCATGTACACTGAAGTTACAAAAACTTCCTGTGTCATGGCGAAGACTTGATCTCTGACGCCACGCCACGGACACACCCATTGACGAAAACTCGCAAATAGCACAACTTTTCATCTTCAATGCCTTTAGAAGGCACAGCACAAATTTGAAGTCGGTCGGACTAAATCCCTAGGAGGAGTTCGTTAAAGTACGAAGTGTGTAAATCATCCAAAATTTGACGTAAAATTCAAAATGGCTGACTTCCTGTTGATTTTAGGGCATCGCTCCAAGAGGCTTTTTTGTGCGTCTGGACAAGATACAGGTACCACAGAAAATTCGTGCACGTAGGTAAAACGTGCGGCGGGGGCTGCTTCGTTAAAAGTCACTTCCTGTTGCCAGCAGGTGGCGCTATGACTGTCTGTGAATGTCAGCATGTACATGTGTTCAGGGCGGGACTCTCATCCTACATGTACAGTTTGGTCCAGATGTGAGCATGTACACTGAAGTTACGACAACTTCCGTGTCATGGCGAAGAGCTGATCTTTGACACCACGCCACGGACACGCCCATTGACGAAAACTTGCAAATAGCACAACTTTTCATCTTCAATGCCTTTAGAAGGCACAGCAAAAATTTGAGGTCGGTCGGACTAAATCCCTAGGAGGAGTTCGTTAAAGTACGAAGTGTGTAAATCATCCAAAATTTGACGTAAAATTCAAAATGGCCGACTTCCTGTTGATTTTAGGGCATCGCTCCAAGAGGCTTTTTTGTGCGTCTGGACAAGATACACGTACCACAGAAAATTCGTGCACGTAGGTAAAACGTGCGGCGGGGGCTGCTTCGTTAAAAGTCACTTCCTGTTGCCAGCAGGTGGCGCTATGATTGTCTGTGAATGTCAGCATGTACATGTGTTCAGGGCGGGACTCTCATCCTACATGTACAGTTTGGTCCAGATGTGAGCATGTACACTGAAGTTACAACAACTTCCTGTTTCACGCCCATTGACGAAAACTCGCAAATAGCACAACTTTTCATCGTCAATGCCTTTAGAAGGCACAGCAGAAATTTGACGTCGATCCGACTAAATCCCTAGGAGGAGTTCGTTAAAGTACGAAGTGTGTAAATCATCCAAAAATGGCCATAAAATTCAAAATGGCCGACTTCCTGTTGACTTTAGGCTATGGGTTCTTGAGGCTTTTTTGTGCGTCTTGATACGATACATGTCCCCAGAAAATTTCGTACATGTAGGTTGAACGTGAACGAGGGGCTAATCATTTCCAATTTTCAAGGTGGCGCTAGCGAGTCATTTTGCCACGCCCATGTGCGAAACTTGTAGAATACGAAATTTTTCACCGGTTCTGACATGTTTGCAAATTTTGGTGAGTTTTCGAGTATGTTTAGGCCATGTCATTTGGGCCTACTTTGCAGAAAAAAAAAAAATAATAAATAATAATAATAATAATCCGAGCAAATTCAATAGGGACCTCGCACGGTCGTGCTCGGGCCCTAAAAAAATATAATCCGAGCAAATTCAATAGGGACCTCGCACGGTCGTGCTCGGGCCCTAATAATCCGAGCAAATTCAATAGGGACCTCACACGGTCGTGCTCGGGCCCTAATAAATATTATATATAATTCTGTAATTTGTTTCTACATTCTATAAAGAAAAAGATGACTCGTTCACTTTACATACATAGTTTGTTGCCAAAAATGCACACAGTCAAGCCATAAATGTAGGGTGGTTTACAGAAAAAGGAAACTTAATTACAAAAAACAATGGATTTCACATCTGTGATCTAAAAAAAAACATGCTAGTGTTTTGACAGAATGATTTTATTTTGAGACAGGATTGCTGTGTTTTGATTTTGTGTATGTAGAGAATGTTTTTTTGTATTTTGAAATGTAGGGCAGAAAATGTACTATTTGGCTGTGCAGTAGGTATGTTGCTGTAAAATAGATAGGGGAGACTGGATATAGTTATAACACTTTCTGCTTAAGCAACTATAACTCACTAAATGTTTTTGCGAGAGTTTTAAAACTTTTACACAGAGTACCTATATTTGTTAAATTGGCACCAATGAAATCATCTACAAAAAATATCACAGACCTTGTGAGTTGAAGTCAAATTCATGGTGTTCCTTTGTTCCAATCTAGGCCTACCCTACCAGGGGTAGGGTGTAACACATGCTGTGATAAGTTTTAACAATTTGACAAAATAAGCAAAAATGGATGCCACACTAGGAGATATGATTCAAAAACAGGTATAGTGAAATAAAAGAACAATGTTTTTCTCTCTCTGTAACAGACTATGTCTGGTATGTGTGTATGTAAATTTGTCTACTAGAACAAACTTAACAGTATATTTAATACTACTACAATGTACCTAACTAAAGAACATCTTTGTACATCTTTGGGTCTAACAAAAAGTCAGTCAGTGCTTGAAGTGAGCCAGTAGCCTACCCACCGGTATGCAGTTCTTTTTCATTAAGCAGAATTCAGCTGACATGCCATAGGCCTAGGCTACATATAACCACTCCGATCCGGTAAGTGGCGGTATGCACCTGTAAGTTTGCTATCAGTAATAAACACAAAGAAGAAGAAGAAGAAGAAGAACTACAGAAGAAGACCCATATCCCAGCGCGCACTGCTGTTTCTGTGTCCGACGTTACCAAACTATGCAGGTCAGATGTTGTAGGTGAGTTCTCAGGCAGTGAATCAGTCACCATCAGCTGATCCTTCACCGTTTCCAGGATGAGCGGCTTGCGGACCGTCCTGAGCTCCGCAGCGGTGGCCGCTCTATTGGGGATCGGCTACGGGATGTGGTGTGCGATCGCATCGGGAGAAGACAGGCGGAGAGAGCTCATCAAGGTGGTTCAGCAGACAGCTTTTCCGGTTACAGACAAATAAACGTTTTAAAAGAAACGTAACTAAACTAACACAAACTCACTGACTAAACTGTGTAGGCTACTGTATGGGTTTATTGTGGTACCCGTTTGCGTCTTAATGGCGATGTTTGTTTATGATTTAAATGTTTGATTGATGACTTATATAGCCTAACGTTAATGTTCAGCAACTGACAGGCAAGATGCAGTAGTGTTGAGATTCTTTCTGTTTTAGAAAACACTAACCTATACTTCCTTATGGAAATGTCTCTCTTTAACCCAATAACGTCCGGCTGCGGTAGTACCGCTCACGCAGCGCCCTCGCACACGCCGCGCTCCTCGCTCAAGCCACGCCCCTTTACGGTACAGTCTGACTGTGTCCAAGGGCCTTTCCGAAATTGCTTGCTACTCCCTCTACATACTTCCACTCCGTTTGCGCGTTCATGCGGAGGGTCCGCCACATTTAGTGCCATCCGAAACCAATGAGGGCGGAGTGGTAGTGGGTTGTTAAACCCTCAGATGCCGAGTCAGCGCCGATGCTGGCTTGTTGAAGGTGTGTAACACCCTTTGCTGTAAGATGGGGGACCCACAGCCCTGGGGGGCTCCTGTGTTGAGCACTAGAGTGGAGGAGGTATGTCCGCCAATCCGGACTGACTGGGATCTGTGAGGAAGTCCAATATCCAGTTGCAGAGTGTTGTATTTAAACCAGAGCGCTGAGATTACCGATCAGTTTCATGGGGAGATTGTGTTGAATGCTGAGCTGAAATCCACAAACGGCATTCTGATGTAGGTGTTGTTTTTCTCAAGGTGTGTGAGGGCTGAGTGGATGGCAGTGGAGATGGCATCCTCTGTGGATCTGTTGGTTCTGAAAGCAAACTGGTGAGGGTCCAGGCTGGCTGGGATGTTGTTCTTTATGTAAGAACCAGTTTCTCAAAGCACTTCATCAGAATGTGTCACAGGGCGGTAGTCGTTCAGAGTAGACACTGCAGACTTTTTAGGTACAGGAATGATGGTGGCTGTCTTGAAGCAGGTGGGAACCCTCTCCTGAGACAGTGGGATGTTGAAAATGTCAGTGATAACATCAACTAGCTGATTGGCTCAGGTTTTAAGTACACAGCCAGGAATGTTATCAGGCCCAGCTGATTTACTCATTCACTCCCAGCAGAACTCTCCTCACATCTGCTGCGATAGTGACAGTGGCCGGTCCTCTGGAGGTGGAGTAGACTTTACAACTGACTCCTTGTTGAGATCAAAGTGAACATAAAAGGTGTTCAGTTCATCTGGTAACAATGCCTCACACATGATGGGGGAACTCCTGCTTTTGTAGCCTGTGATGTTTTTGATGGCCTGCCACATATCTTTGGTGTTGAGGTCTCTCTCCAGTCTCTGCTAACGAATTTAGGTAATACCGTGCTGAGATTTGTTTGATTTACAGTCACCAGCAAGAATGAAAACACCATAAGGTCAACACAATTTCATTCTATAACTTGTTATATTGTAACAAAAAACCTACCTACCTGATGTCTCCACTTCGCCTCTTTCAGTCTCGCTCTGGCGACGCCGTAAGCTTCTTTATCAGTCGACAGAAAAGCAGCTGTTTTGGCTCTGGACAGAGCCCTCACCTCACCATTCATCCAGGCCTTCTGATTGGGGAATGATTTTATCGTTTTAGTGATCACCACATCATCAACACATTTGCTGATTTCACTGATGATGTATATTCCTCAAGCTTGAAGTGGCTCTCCTGGGCGGCGGCCTCTCTGAACACACTCCAATCTGTGCTACCAAAACAGTCCTGTAGAGCTACTGTAGCCTCATCTGTCCACACTTTGACTGTTTTAATTGTTGTCTTGACCCTTTAATCAGCTGGGTGTAAGTGGGCTGAAGAAGCAATATGGTCTGATTAACCAAAATGGGGATGGGGGAGGGCTTTGTAGCTGCCAGGAATATTGGTGTAGACGTGGTCCAGCGTGTTTGTTCCTCTGGTGGGGTTGTGGACATGCTGGTGCAATTTAGGTAATACTGTTCTGAGATTTGTTTGAATAAAATCACCAGCAACAATAAAACACCATCAGGTTGTTTTGTCATGTGACTGCTGATGACCTCATGCAGTTCCTGTAGTGGAGTTTTTGAATTTGCATCTGGAGGAATGTAAACACCAACGACAAAAACACTGGAGAATTCTCTGGGCAGATAGTATGGCCGACATCTCAACATTAAAAATTCCACATCTGGTAAACATTGTCCATCAACTTTAGCTGCGTTTGAGCACCAAGCATTATTTACGTAGATACACAGTCCTCCTCCCTCGTCTTACTGGACTTAGTGTCCTGTCTGTGCGGAATAAACTCCTCCCGTCAAGTGTGACCGCTTCCTCAGGGACACTGCTGTGCAAGTTAATATTTATATTAAACTAAGTTGTATCATTTGCTTGTGAGACAGTTGTATCTAACACGCACACAAGAAATTAGGGCAACATTTTCATTATGTGGTTTAATGTAATAATTCATTACATGTATTTGCCTCTTGCTGTACTGCCCACCAGAATCTGCCTGAGTCGAACCCAGTGAGAATGGAAGAGACGAGAAAGAGGAACGCTCTGGTGATGCAGGCACTCAAGGAAGCTGCTGAAACAAACGACAACATTGCAAGAGGGTTCGGAGGACCTGCAAAATAGACCGTCCCACCCTGTTTGCCAAGTCTCCATGTATTGAACACTGCCAGCGTGCAGGACCACAATCTATTCAAATAAAGATGAACATTCTATTATTCTACAAGTAGGTTGTTGTCTAATTTGCAGCTTTAATGTCTTCATTTTATGTGATTTACTATATAATGTTAAATTCTTTATTAAAGCTCTCTTAACACAAGCATTTTATCAGAATCAAAATCTGCTTTGTGGGTCAAGTATGTGTAAACATGAAGGGAATTTGACTGTTTAATTTTTGTTGCCCCCAGTGTGCTTACACAAAATGAACACAGCAGCTAAGATCAAAGAGAAAGCTGAACACATAAAGGTGAAAGAATAGGACTATCATGTACACAACTATGTGATAAATGTCTTCATATAAATATGTATAAAAAGTATTGATGACAAAAAAAAACTACAGGTGCATCTCAGAAAATCTAAATGAGATTCCATGAGCTGTAAGCCGTAGTCATCAAGAAAAAAAAACACAAAAGGCCAGAAGTATTTCACTTTGTGTAATGAATCCAGAATATACTGTATGAAAGTTTTACTTTTTGACTTAAATTATGGAAAAATGAGGTGCACCTGTATAAACAAGTCAATCATGTTTTTGTAAGTTGTAAACAATACATGACCCGGCTCAAAGGCCATGACAAAATGTGGGAAAGACACAGTGCCTTAAATTATTATTTAGTTGTTTATTGTAACATAAAGTAACCAAAAATAACACTTAAACTATGGGATGGGTCACTCAGCAACATCAGTAGTGTAAGTGTGGATGGGTGATCATGGCGTAGAGTGTGGTGTCCAAACAAATTTAACATTTAACGAAACCAAAAGGTTTAGCTGCTGGCAGGGAGGATTAAAGAGAGACACAATTTTAGAGGTGGGGCTTTTATCACCTATGGAGTACTCGGGCCAGATGTTCCAGATCCGGGCGGGACCACTGCAATCAGCTCCTGAAACAGAAAACCACAGGCGAGTTTAGCGCCATAACAAAACATTGTTTTCAGTGGAAACAGTGGTTCCCTGAAAACACTGTGGTGTATGCGCACTCCAATCCAATTAAATTCAATCCTAAAAGGTGGCAAACCGGTGCAAGACATTTTCAGGTTACTGGAGTATGAGGCTACTTGAGCATAGAAAGAAGATCATGGCATGGTTTGAGCAGTTTGTGTAATCTCAGGAGACTTGTGCAATTTCAAAAATGGTGGCGTGCAGCCAAACAAACATTTAATTCATCAGACAATACACCAATTTAATAAATCGCAACAATCCCATCGATCTAGAGGACCTCGAAGACAAGTGTTTGGAGGACCTTGAAGTTTACATTGATCAGTGTTTTCACAGAATGATCATGGGGAAGGCCAAGAAAACCCACACTGAACTCTCACCTGGAGCACTCTCCTCACAAGGTGGGGATTTCACAGACATCCTGGACTCAATAGACAAGAAATTGTCCAGCTATGATGCCCGATTGTCTCTGGTTGAAGTTCTCCACAAAGAGTTTCAGGCTTTGCAGAAATCCCTGGAGTTCAGCCAGAAACAGGTGACCTCGCTGCGGAAAACGAGGTCTTCAAAGGTTCAGTTAAATCCCTCACTGAGGGAATGACACAGGTCTCAGCAGAAAATAAAAACATTAGAGAAACAATCATCGATCTCCTGGCGCATCATGAGGGACAACCTGGTAATCTCAGGCATCCCGGAGCAGGCAGATGAATCCTAAAGGAGCTGAAACTACCGGCCTACACTGTGAAGAACATCGGCTTTCACCTGGTCCACCGCCTGGGATGACGGCAATCACACAGCCAAAGGTTAAGACCCATTGTGGCCAAGTTTGAACACTTCAAGGAGAAGGAACTGGTTAAAAGCTGCGGCAGGGAGTTGAGAGGAACAAACTTCAGCATAAACTTGTCGCATGTAATTGTTTATTGTACTTCTCTACCTCATTCATCAGACTGTGTGATATTTTCTCAAATGCCGCCACCTTACTCAGTTCTGAGACCCATTCCGGAAATAATGGGCCCGCAGCATCTTTCCACTTATTATTATCTGTTTGCCAATCATGATGCTTATCTGGACCCAGTTAGCTAAGGGTTTTCCCATGTGGTTGATAACTTTGGGGTTTCCCTAGTATGTAGAGTTCAGGACAGAGTTTGTCTGTCCTCGCTATCTCTGAGATATACTTCCAAAACGCCTGTACCTTTGGGCATAACCATGCATGAACTGGGTCCCCTAACAGCCTGTTACATCTCCAGCAATCTGAGGAGTCTTTCAGCCCTAGTCTAAATAACCAGTACCAGTAATATCGGTGAAGAATTTTGAACTGTATTAATCTTATTCTGATGTCTCTGGAGACATGTTTGGTAACACCAATAATTTTATCCCAGTCCTGTTCTTCACTAGAGATGCCTAAATAGTTTTCCCACATTCCTTTCAAAGCTGTTGTGCTATTATAGCCAGAAGTGTTTAAAAGCAAAGAATAAAACCGGGAAGCCTCATGTCCTGCCTCTGCAATGCGTAAAACTGAATTTAAAAGGTACAGGCCCTGGGGAGAGGCTTGTGATGAGACAAAGATGCTAACCAGAAGATGTGTTAATTGAAGGTACCTCCAAAATTGATTATTAGCCATATCATATCATAGCCTCCTTCAAATAGATGACTCAGAGTAAGAATTCCTTTATTCACCCACTCTTTCCACATAACTGAGGATTTGCCAATTAGGAGGTTAAGATTGTCCCAAATCCCAGAAGACATATATGGGTTTATTTTAGTAATACAGGCTTCTTTCCTTCATATTTCCTGTAAATGTGATATGATGGGTTTAGATTGAGCATTTGGTGGCATTCTGGCAGACAAGAACAACAATGGGGGAAACGATATGCAGATTGACTGTTCTATTGAGTACCATGAAGGAGCTCAGTGTGCCAGGTGTCTCAAGCTAAAGGCCTAGTAATAAAACAGCAAGACCCAAACCATCTTTTGTAGTTTTCTTAGATGCATTCAAGGCTTTTTGCCATTCAAAAAAAAACTTTTGACATAGTACATCAAATTGTTTAAAGTACTTGGTAGGGATTTCCAGGGGAAGAGACTGAAGAATATAATTTATTTGGGGATTGCAGTTCATCTTGATAACATTAACCTTGCTGGGAATAAGTATGACTGGGAAAAAGTATTCCTAAGTATTTAATTCCCTTGAGGGGCCACTGGAAGGAGCAGACTTGGAATAACGATTTAGGGCAATAACTTTGTCCAATTCACCCGATAGCCTGAAAAGCTTGAGAATGATTATCTCTAATTTGGAGTAGTGTAGAACGGATTTGTCTGGGTTTATGATGAAGACTAGAGTATCATCAGCATAAAACAAAAGTTAAATGTATAGCCTCCAGTCGTAATACCATGGATATCAGGGTCCTTATGAATTGCCACAGCCAGGGGTTCTATTGCTAGGCAAACTAATAGAGGAGAAAGCAGTGAACTTTGCTGGGTCCCATGGCCGAGTCTGAAATAAGTTGCTGTGCCGATGTTAGCACCTTTGCTAGCACTCACTTGGCCCTTGTCTATGTGCCTTGTATTTGGTCGATTTGCGTTCTTTTGTGTGCCTGACATTACAGCCATGTATATCTCCTACACTTGTAATTCAAGTGGTTACGCCAAATCTGAATGTGAATATCGGATAAAAAACAGATACAGCAGCACAGGGCTCGGCTAGGCAGCTATCCTCTTCACCCCGTCACGTGACTCCATCAACAGACACCCTTAAACAGTATATGAGCGATTATGGTCTTTGCGATGCATGGTGTTCTCATCACCCCACTCTCAGAATATATACCTTCTTTTCACTAGTCCACCACTCATATTCCCACCTAGACTTTTTTGGTTAGCAGCTCAGCTATGACAGACATCTGAGAATCAGAAATATTTTATTGATCCCAGAGGGAAAATTCTTGTGTCACAGTTGTACACATTGCACATCAAGGCATAAAGCAAAATAAATAATAATTGAAGTTGGTAGGTAAAGAAATATATAAACGTATGAATATAAATTATAAACCAAAAAATATAAAGAGGTATGGATATGTTGTGATGAACAGTAGTAGTGAATAAAGTGAAGTAGAATTGCAGCAGAGATTGCACATTGAATATTAAAACAGAGAATATTGCACAGAATGTGAAGTACTGCACTACAAGGTCTAGTTTAATAACTAAGTAAGCTGTGTGTGTCTGACACTGAGTGTACTTTGGGAGGCAACAAAAGCAGTTATGAGAGGTAGAATAATCTCCTATTTATCATACAAAAAAAGAAAGAGAGATCTTGTGAATTAGAGCTAGAGAATTAGAGCTAGAACAAAAAATAAAAACATCAGCAGCTGCCCATGCAGCGTCTTGAAAGATCTGAGTAAACTTAAACTTGAATTAAATGAAATTATTGATAAAAAGACCCAATTCCAGTTGCAAATACTACCCTTGGAGAACTTTGAACATGGCAATAAATCCAGCAGATTCTTAGCCAACCAATTACAATTGAATAAAAAAACAAAACTATTTCCTCCATAAAGGACTCAGCTGGAAAAATGAAGAAATAAATAATACCTTTAGAGATTTTTATAAAAACTTCTATACATTACAAATCCATCCATCTAAATCTAACATAGATTTCTTTTCTGAACAATATAGATTTGCCAAGGTTAGATGGTGAATAGAACAGCGCTCTGGATTCACCTGTTTCAATGCCTGAATGAAGAACTCTTACATATGCTGAATAATAAAGCCCCTGGGCCAGACGGTTTTCCTGCTTAATTATATAAAGAATTCTGCGAAACACTTGCACCCACATTTTATCGGATGGTAATGTAAATTAGGGGAAGTTGCATATTGCCTTCAACAATGAACTTTGCCAATATCAGCCTGCTCCTTAAGCCAGACAAAGATCCCACACTCCCATGATCCAGTTATCGCCCAATACCACTTATTAACGCATATCTTAAAATCATCTGCAAAGCCCTAGCCAAAAGGCTATACTCCTTTTATAATACACCCCGACCAAGGGTAGACACTTGCTAAATTCCTCACTGTGGTACGATAAAGCGATAAAACATCTAGAGTATGTCATCAAGGGCAGTAACCTTATTCCATTCCAGGATCTAGTGGCACAATATGGAATTAGCAATAAAAATGTCT